TGGTAGTGCTTGATTTGAGAAGAGAATGTCACAGCGCAGGTTATGAAATCATAAATAATAGCTTTTATATTTGATTTTGATCAGCCAAAAAGCCAATATACCTATTGGTTACTTGCATGATATGACGTCATGGCCTATACAAGACTGGGGATGGCTCAACCCTGCTGGAGGAATGTTTGCATCTGTAAACGACTTAGCAAAAGTAAGTTAAGACGTTTTTTTCACTCGAGCTTTACATACTTCATATCAAAATCATATTAGTATCACACATTTCTATGCGCTGTACACCGCAATGAAGCACATCAAAGTCTTATCTAAATCTACAAGTTGTTTGCAAGTATTTGGTCTCTGTTTTTCAGCTACAGATCGAGCTTATGTCAGAGAAGTCGAATGGAAGAATTATTTCATATCAACTTGCACAGGAGTTCTTCAAACCTAGTAAGTGTTTATTCAAAATGAATGTTTTTTGGTGGGGGTGGGGGATGGGTGCGGGGTCAGGAAACAGGAATATTAGGCAAATAACCATCTTGTTTGGAAGCTAAGTTTATTTGCTTTACTCTAGAATTAAGAACCTATTTTAAGAACCTAAGTAGCCTAAAATTGTGTTAACTACCATTTATATAAGAACCTGTTTAGGCTACTTTCCAAAAATGTAGATTCTTATATACGGGTTTCTACTGAATGAAAAATCAAAAACACGACCGCAATGRCGGAATATGACAATCCCCGGGTCCAAAGTTTAATTATATATAGGGGAAAATGTCYCAAAAAWTTTATTTGAACTTAAGTAGTTGCTACTATTTTTTTAGATTARGTGTTTGCGAATGATAATATGGTTGGATCGTCGTGGGAAATGTCAAAGACAAAAAAGGGATATCTTCTCCGWGCAAAGGATGGATACATATACGGTTACAATGGCTATATGGTTATGGTTCCAGAACTAAGACTAGGTATTCATGCTCTTTATTATTTGCAAAACAAAAGACCCCGTAGTGTGTACCCACTYATGAAGCCGCCATCTTGAGTACTATTAATATACTAGATTACTTATCAAAGCCGAAGGTTTTCTAGTCTGGGAAATGTGTATATAGCTTACATAACCTTATTATTGATAAAAATGTACATTCATGTTCTAATACATTCTGCTGAAACTTTTAAGGTCTTAATCTGCTATGTACTGGATGCAACCAAATGCTAAGTGCTGCTGGTAAATCCCGATTTCTAAGAATTCTTGATGTATTTGACAAGGAACTAACAGCACTTTCTGCTAAGGTAACAATAGACTTTTGCAAAGTCTGTTTTTTGGTCTARGCGCTCGACCATCGCGCTTCGCGCTCAATATTCACCCATTCCTGGGAGTATAAGAGAGTCCGACTTGGGCAACTCTAAGGTCACAATACCCGCCTTGGAGTTCACAGCACCATTTTACCCAGGTGAAATTATGTTGCGACCCTGATTATTTACACTAAGTTATAATGCAATTATTTTCAGAAAATCTCAATGCCGCCAAACCCAAAGTTCTTT